ATATATAGAAAATGTGCTTAATGAAAATAATGTATTTAATGAACTTAATGAAAGTAAAATCCATTATTAAATATACAAATAAATAGTTTTTGCATTTATATTGAAGGGAAAATATGCTTAATGAGTGTAAATAAATAAAAACAGTTTTGTATTGATGTTTGAGGGAGAAAATGTGCATAAATAAATAAATAAAAAAGTTTTTGTATTGGAAATTAGAGGAGAAATGTGCTTAATGAAAATAAATTAATAAATAAATCATTTTGTATTGATAATTGGAAGAGAACTGTGCTTAATTAAAATGAATAAATAGTTTTTGTATTGATAATTTGAGGGAAAATGTGCTCAAATAAATGAATAAATAACTAGTGTTTGTCTTGATAATTGTAGGAGGAAATGTTCTTAATTTAAATAAATAAATAGATAAATAGTTTTTGTCTTGATAATTGGAGGAGAAAATGCACTTAATTTAAATAAATAAATAAATAAAGATAAATAAATAGTTTTTGTCTTGATAATTGGAGGAGAAAATGCACTTAATTTAAATAAATAAATAAATAAAGATAAATAAATAGTTTTTGTCTTGATAATTGGAGGAGAAAATGTGCTTAATTTAAATAAATAAATAAATAGATAAATAAATAACTAGTTTTTGTATTGATAATTTGAGGTCAAATGTGCTCATAAATAAATAAATGTAGTTTTTGCATTGATAATATGAGGAGAAAATGTGCTTAATTTAAATAAATAAATCGTTTTAGTCTTGATAAATGGAGGAGAAAATGTGCTTAAATAAATAAATACATACATAAATAAATGCTTTTTGTGTTGATAATTGGAGGAGAAAATGTGCTTAACGAAAATAAATCAATACATAAACAGCTTAAACGTCTAATGGATCTTACCTCAGATGAACAGTCTTCAGCTGTCGTTGAGACTTCACTCTCGGGCTGACAAAAGAAAACATAATGAGGTCACATGTGCAATTAATTTCTACATTGTTCCACTTTCTGAGCCTTCGGTGTTAGTGGGTCACTCATCAAGACGACAAGCTTTTAAAAAATAGCATCCTGAAATGAGCGCTAAGGATGGCTGTATCTGAGCCTCTACGACAGAGAAAGAGAGCGGTCTGTCTCCACATCAGTACAGACACACTTCAGCTATAAAAGCATGATGCATGGCCGCTGTTCTCATCTCCTTCACAAGATCACGGCTAATTACACTGATGCATGAACGTCTGACCTACATCCAGATCAGTGCAGACACGCAGCCACGGGAAACCCAACAGAGCAGCTGTAATCATGGGCACTAGGGCTGAGTTTTCACACAAATTTCACGATTCGATTCGCTTTCACAAGCTTGCGATTCGATTCAGTATTGATTATTTTGAATATATATCAGGTACTGTACATGCCAAATTTTCTCAAGGAAAAAACTAATGCTGTAAAAAATTCATGAGAGTCAGTTGGTACTACATTACTATAATACAACTAATGCTGTAAAATATATATGAGAGTCAGTTGGTACTACATTACCATAATATTGAAGGTTAAAATTGACTGATTTGTAAGCTAATATACAACTGCTAAAATTACACTTGATGAAGTTTTTAAAATAATAAAGTTACAATTACATAATAATATTTCTACTTCAATTCGTGTTTTTAAATATAAACATAATGGTGGCTGCCATAAAAACTTAATGGATTTATTCAAACATAAATTAAACATTGAAGAACAGTAAAAAATATAATGAATATGTTATATGGTGCATATATTTAGCAAAATGTTAAATATATGGTAATAAAGCGGAGGAGATGATCAGTTCACTGAGGCGCTACAGCGATCACTCCACATTAAACAGCGCCGAAACGGCATTTATTGTTTGAATTCTGCAATTCAACGGACAGAATTTGAAATCTGAGACTTTGTTTCATATTAAAAGCACTAAAGCACAATGCTTATTGCGATTTATTGGATGGGAGGTGCGCTTCAATGTTCCGTCCATTAACTGAAAACAGACTAAACTAATCGATTCCTGGGATTTAAGAATCGATATCGTTCCGTAAAAATGAGAATTGATTAATATAGCGATATCGATATTTTTTACCCAGCCCTAATGGGCACGATTGATTAATATTGGAAACATGACTAAATTAATGGCAGAACAGTCAGTGCAGATAAGAGATTATTCTCAATGCTGATCTTATTAGATTCACTACTGTAACTGTTTACATTTATTAATTCAGAAGATGCTTTTAATCTAACTCATTTCTATAATACAATACTTTTTATTTTCTTATTTAATCGTATTTTAACTTTTTATTTTAATGTCAATATAACAAATTCAATGATGTTTAGGCTAGACGCTAAACCATGTAAACGAAACTAATATTAAAATAGTTTAAATAAATAATAAAAATATGCCACAATGCAACAAATTCTAATATACAAACATAACAAATATATTGTAAATAAATAGCTTTGTATTGATAATTGGGGGTAAAATGTGCTTAAATACATAAATAGTTTTTGTACTGATAATTTGAGGAGAAAATGTGCTTGAAGAAAATAAATAAAACAAATAAATAAATAAGTACATAATAAATAGTTTTTATTTTGATAATCAGAGGTGAAATGGGCTTAACTCAAATAGTTTTTGTACTGATAATTTGGAAGAGAAAATGTAATTAATGAAATAAATAAATAGCTTTTGTATTGATAATTGCAGGTAAAATGTGCTTAAATAATTAAAAAAATAATAAATAAACAAATAAATAAGTTTTCCTCTAATAATTGAAGGAGAAAATGTGCTTAATAAAAATTAATAAATGCATACATAAATAGTTTTGGCTTTGATAATCAAAGATAAAATGGGCTTAACTCAAACAGTTATTGTACTGATAATTTGGAAGAGAAAATGTGATTAATTAAATAAATAAATAGGTTTTCTACTGTGCTTAATGTGCTGAGAAAATGTGCTTAATGAAAATTAATAAATAGTTTTTGTATTGATAATTGGATGAGAGGTGTGCTTATATAAATAAATAAATATTTGTTTATTATTAATACAAGCAATATGTACCAAATGAGACTCGAAATTGAAGTTACACTGATATTTACTAGTTAAAAGCATCCAGTTAATTTAGTAGGTCAGCAATATGACTTTAGCGCCGTCAAACCCATCAGACCCACGTGTTCGCTATGTAACAACAGTTTGAGATCTGTGAGCTTTACTCCGCTAGATTTCAGCACAGTCACAAGCGTTGTTTCCACGGCAACAGCTGCAGGAGGAAGTTACACGACCGCTTGAAACTTTGCTGTGGTGATTTAAATGCAAACACGTATCAACTACATAACACACTTCAGAAACAGATGGAAACAGCAGAGTCAGAGGAGACTCTCCATGCTTAGAGATGGTTGAGATTGAGCATAAACTCACAGACGGAGGTGAAACTCTGCTTGTTTCCTGGAGAAACCTCTCTTGATAAAGCACACGGACACATTGAGAGCTGAGCGAATGGAGCAAGATCACGCCAGCACTGCTATTCTGCTGCAAGGAGACACACACACACGCACACACACTCACTCACTCACTCACTCACGCACACTCGCTCACTCACTCACACATGCGCACTCACTCACGCGCACTCACTCACACACACACACTCACTCACTCACTCACTCACTCACACACACACACACACACACTCA